GCTTTTAATATCGAGTTCCTTACAGTTTTAATGGGGATTTTGTCAGGTATATTATAAACAATCACGTTATTACAAGAGACTATTCGGTTGGTAACTTCATTAGCGATAAAATCGATAACACATTCTGCATTTATAATGTCATCAAGTTTCGCAGGAACGATATCTTTCGACTAAAGCAGTTTAAGGGGTGATAGTGTCTTTATTTCTTGTTTCAGATCATCATCCTTTGATAAAGAGCTAGCAAGTGACTCAAACTTAGGACGCATGTTGTTTAGTTGCATAAAAAATAGTGTCTGATTCACTCCTAATATTATCGATACATTTTGATCTTGAGGTGGGACTCATTATTAAATTAGAGTCATCCAGCAGCAGATGTGTTGTAAGACCACTCCCAACATTATCAGATTCAAAAGGAGTAGCAGAGGATGGGGTAGATGTAATAACAGAATTGTTATTATATGTAGAATCATGGTTTTCCGGGCTTGGTTTTTTGACATTCAACCCGTATCGCTTCCAGTAATAATTCTAAAGCTATTTATGAGTCATAAACTAGTACTCAATGATATTCAAACAATATATATCAAATAGCGTGTTATCGTCACGCAAACTCCAAAAGTATCGCTAATATTATGAAATCGAATCGCAGGCATACACATAAAACGAGGTGCCGACGACGTGCCTTAGTGAAGAATTTATTTAATGCAGTGGTAAAGCTGAATGTTAAGCCAACTTCATTACGATTTTACATTTTATCAAGATGTATGGAATCTTACTACTGAAATACTGATTCATCCTCTTACGTTTGATTCTATGTAAATCAGTGAGAAATCAGTGATGTTATCATTCACTCTAATTGATGAACAATGATGAGATTTCAAAATTGACTTTCTTAATGCCAAAATATCTCATGATCCATGCAGTGTGGATTGTGTAATGAAAGACTCTAAAATTATGTAAACTAGTTGGTAGTACAAATATTCCAGTTCCAATTCCCTTCTGAAAGAAAATTGCATAGCACTGAATCCACCAACCAATAACATTCAATGCAATTGGTTTATGGAATTCATTACTAATTATTGATCGATTAAGATGGAATGTTGTGTTTTATTGCCTAGTTGAATGTTCAACACTTCCATAACTGACATGGATTGTAACATAAAGAGAACACACATTCCTACCACACATCAGTGAATTTACAATAAATGTTTCACAAACCAATCAAGCAAATAATGAATAATCTTGATTGTGAGTTAAAGTAGGTCTGTCGCAATCAAGTTGAGTTCCATAAATGTTCAGTCTGGATGTGAACTCCTGTTTAACACGAGAAATCATGAATACATATTAAATTTTGGTTATCTCAATATCTGGAATTGCTTACGCTTTCAAATATAAAAATCTTCTGAACATCAGTCGTTACTGATTAGGATGAATAAATTGAGCTTCATTTCTCTCTGCTCAGTCTAGAATGATGACGATTCCACATATACTGATATTTTGAACCGTGTAAATATATTAGATTTACTTGTTGATAGAGTGAGAATGATCCGTGATATATATTAGTAAATCCTCTATTGTCGTCTCATTGGATGGAACTGTGACGAAATTATTATCGTTTTTATTGTTAACATTTAGTGTCACTGTCAAAGATGAGGTGGAGATGGTGCTGTACTGTGGATTCCGTTGTTGGGTCTAGAGATGAGTATTAAGTTGGTGTTGTCTGTTGCAGATAGTAGACGTCTAGTGGAGTGATCTGGTGAGATGATATTGTTTGTGATATTCAGTGTTGAGAAGAGAGAAGACGCGAGACATTTGAGTGCAGGATGGACATCGCATTGACATTGTCTGTGAGTTGGGGACAGTTATATAGCTCAGTGTCGACGGAATCCACATTTCGATGAGGAACAAGGCATAGAATGCGACAAGGAGGAAAGGTGCACTATGAGAAGAACGACTGAAAGAGCGACTGTTTAAAGAGGGAACAAGTGTGGTGTATGTTAATGAGGCTGACAGATGTAAGTAGTACGTGGCAGCAATCGGAGTGGGATGTCTGTCAGAAGAAGTTTCAAATGAAGAGAATAGGAAGGAAACGAATCACAATTAAAATAACAACTGAATTAAAACAATAATGCAGTATGTAAAAATCAATGCAAAGAAGTTGTGCCAATATGTACTCAATATATGATTTGCATATTCTTTTTTACTAAATCACTGTATGATTTTTTATTAAACAAAAAATTTGAGTTTCTTTCCACGTGAGTATTCGTTCACTGCACTACAAATATTTAAGATGAATGAAATATTTTATTATGTTTATTGACAGATCCGAATGCCTAGAAATGGGATGACGCAATGAAGTTTTGTATGTGAATAACTCCTATGATTTCAGAATGGCAACAAAATCACTACTAGACATCATGGTTTTGACGTCACAAAACTGATCCCGCCTACATAAACAAGTTCTCCATAGTATTTGAATTAGTTGTGTTTAATTTATGATTATTGATGTTAAATGAAATGGAATATTGTTATTGATATGCACATACTGACGATGGTATATGTAAAATAGCACTATCATCAAATGAATTGATATAGTCGATTGATATAATTCTATCTAGATTGACGTAAATATTCATACATTAACACATTCCTGTAAACTGTTAATTGTCTAACCAACTATTATTCAGTCGCAAACTCAACGTCAACAAATATCTCTCGTAACATATTCTTCACTTTTCTGTTCGATATAGTCATATGAAACAACATAACATCAATATTCATCTACCAAACACGAGATTATTCTGATTTGCTTACACTCCACTTAATTATTCCTTCTCGATTTCATACAACTTTATACACAATATAATCTTTCAGTAAACAGAGGGGTTTTTCGGACATTTTAGTAATTCAATAATTGAACTGATGAGTCAATTGTAGCTAGATCACCATGAAAAACCTGTAAGCAATGGACGGCCGTTTCATTCTAGTATGGAACTCTTCAACAGTGCACATTCCAGATCATGCCCCTCGACATTCAAACCGAGGTGTTCGACGGTGATCTAGATTCCAATGAATCATGAATTCGATTTTTAGATTACTACAATCTCCGAAAAACCCCTCTCAGATTGTAATCATCATATACTCACTAGTGACTGTTTCCAAGAGTTAGTGACGAATGAATATCTGTCGATACGGTTGACCTATTTCAACGCACAATCAAGATTATTCATTAATGGCTTGATTGGTTTGTGAAACATTTATTATAAATTCACTGACGTATGGTAGGAATGTATGTTCTCTTCAAGTTACAATCCATGTCAGTTATGGAAGTGTTGAACATTCAACTAGGCAATAAAACACAACATTCCATATTAATCGATCAATAAGTAGTAATGAATTCCATAAACCAATTGCTTTGAATGTTATTGGTTGGTGAATTCAGTGCCATGCAATTTTCTTTCAGAAGTGAATTGAAACTGGAATATTTGTACTACCAACTAGTTTACATAATTTTAGAGTCTTTCATTACACAATCCACACTGCGTGGATTATGAGATATTTTGGCATTGAGAAAGCTAATTTTGAAATCTCATCATTGTTCATCAATTACAGCGAATGATAACATCACTGATTTCTCACTGATTTACATAGAACCAAACGTAAGAGGATGAATCAGTATTTCGGTAGTAAGATTCCATACATCTTGATAAAATGTAAAACCGTGATGTAATTTCCAAGTAACGATTTCGCTCAACCTTCATCTTTACCTCTACATTAAATAATTTATTCCCTTAACTAATAAATTATAGTTCTATGTTCAAGATTTACATTGCACGCAGCTTAGGTAACCTCCAAAATCTGCATGCATACATACATACAAATGGTAATTATTAGATGGTATTAGTTTTTATTTAGTTTCCCTTTTTGAATATTATAAACGGAATGCAGCTATAAGCCATTAAAGATGAAGGATTGGTTAAGCGAAGTCTTCTCTCTTTGTGGAATTCATTTTCAATGCCGTACAATTGCTAATATATATGGTTATTTTACAGGATGATAATAATGCTCATTTAGTATTGTTTTGCTTGTATTTTCCCATAGAGGTTTAAGACTGTAATTTATCAGTCTTTTATTGGCATATGTGCATACTGTGAGCATGCCTCGATATTGCTTTAATTCACAAGCTTTATAGGCAAAGATGGATAGTGGCTAGCAGTGGAATCCAGTTTGATGCGCGTTTCTTCCTATTTGGATCTCGTCAACGGGATGCAACTACATCTCAGAGTTGATGTTCATTCTAATAATAATATTGATTAGAAACTTCTGTTTGATATGGTGACAGTGAGATTAAATCAACAAATGTATAAGAAGCATTTATATACAAGGTGAACTTAATAAACATTTGATTGTTAATGGTCAATCAATCAAGACAGACTCTGCATTCAAAGTCATCTACAAAGAAGTAGAAGTCTTCCAAAGACAATTAAATTGCATCTTCTTTGCAATAGCCATAGAACTTGGAAAAGCAGAATTGTGTGCACGTCAAACTGGATTCCACTGCTACCCACTATCCATCTTGGCTTATAAAAGCTTATGAATTAAAGCAATATCGAGGCATACTCACAGTATGCACATATGCTAATAACAGACTGATCAACTGCAGTCTTAAACCTCTATGGGAAAATACAAGCAAGCCAATACTAAATGAGCATTATTAACATCCGGTAAAATAAGTATATATATTAGCAATTGTACGGCATTGAAAATGAATTCAACGAAGAGACAACTCCTCACTGAACTGACATTTATCATTTTGATATTATGTTGTTGACATTTCGATTTACAAATAATAACTGTATTATATCTACTTGTCATTCAAACCTGTAGCACTGTTAATTCTTAAGTCCTTAAAACGGTCGAAATGTAGTCATCAGAAGTGTAATTTTAAAAAGACGTCTGATAGATTACAGTATTGAACAATGATTTCGTACACGTTGAACAAGTGGAACGATGTGTGAACTTAGTTGGTACATCAATACAACGTAAGTTCTCAATGTATTTGCATTAACAAATAAAATGTGTGTAGTCTAAGTCATGTTATATCAATAGTGTATGTTATATCGTAGTGTGGTTTTCACATCTCCAACTATGCTCAACAGATATTGTGACAAAATGTCACGAGTAGGATTTCAAAGAAAAATAAGCCTATCGTTTTACTTATAAAGCTCAATCAATCCACAATGCTCTCATTGTTATAGTCAACCAATGACTTTCCATCATTCAGTCACAATGCAACTCTCAATAACCACAACTAGATCGATCTACGGTTGCTATTACACCTTCACAATAAACACTCTGAAGAGATGATAAACATCTATCTTGAAATCCAATCAATACCTCATGATAATAATAATAATAATCTACTTTCGATCAAGTACCTTGTGTTCGTTGTATGAACACTTCGAATCTGATTGACTGATATACTCTAGTTGAAATATCCTATCGATTGTGTTAAAGAGAATAAACGTTTCTCATTTTTGTTTGTTTTCTTTCGAAACACCTCCCAGTAACAAGTTGATTTAAACAAAGAAAATAATGAAGAAATTCATTATTCAGTTGATAACAATAGTGTACAATGGTGTACAAATAAGTAAGATCAAATGACAATAGAATGAGTAATGAATAGTCAATGATTCGGTTGTTTGATTGACATTCGGTTCCATTGAATATCTTCTCAACATTTGGTCTCAATAAGACCATTATGCAGATAGAAAATCGTCACCTTCAAATTTACGTATTCTCATAATTGACAATATCAAGTAGACCGCTTGAATAATCCCGAATGTGAAACATAGATACATGATTATATTTAGATAAGTTTGTGTATATTCAATTATCGCTGATACACATCCCTTTGATGAAATGATGAGAAAAAGTGAATAGAGAATTACAATGAAATGTCTATCATTCATTCAATAAATCTACATGGATAATTGAAATGTGAAGCGTAGTGAAAGTGATTAGACTGTGATGTTGTTGTGAATGAGAATAAGACTGAGAACAATGCAGAACTGTCTTGTCACAGAGAACAATCTATTGTTGTGTCGGTAGAGCAGTTCATTGAGTTTGAGTTAATGGTTTTGATTTTACCACTAGTCACTTACTAATATGATTGAGTTATAGTGTGCTGATGAGAGGTATTGAAGTGTCAGTAATGACAACAACTTCAATGGATATAATGTCACCTAATCTTCAAATACGGAACTCTTATAAATATTCATGTGTGTCATCGAAAACCACGTAATCAGGATGATTGTATTTGCCTAGATGAATAGCATTATGCGATGAATCCTATATTGGAAATCACTTAGCAACATGTTAACAAATGTTGTTAAAACGCGGTTGAAATTCTACTCAATAAATAAAATTATTCCACATGACAGTTGATTCAACGTGTTCCTAGTGAGTGAGCTGAATATTCAGTATTTGGTTGTAAACCGTAAGTTAATACAAACGTGAATATTCTATGGGGATTGTTAAAGTGATGAAATCAGGTAAGTTAATTGGTTAAAAATTTGCAAAAATATTGACTTACTTTAGGATATGCGAATTTGGCGTATTTACATGAAGAAGGTATTTGTAGTATCCTTGGATTAAATGGATAGTCTTTGTATGATGACGCTCCGCAGCAGAAAAACTATAGAGAAGAAGTCATCAGAATTTTGAATTTGATTATAAATTACACTCTTTTGTAATTGATCAAACTCCATTTGACAATCAATTCGTTTCTCATATTGTTTAACAGTAGTACTTAGTGAACTGTTAACTAACGTAGGGAACTATAATGATATGAAGATCAGTGTGTCACGATACATTAGGTTCAGTTTATATCAAACAAACCCTGTCTTCCGTTAAAGCTACTTTAAATGCCATACCGATCCACATACAAGTCACGATAAACAAAACGACAATGTTCTAAACAGAGATATGAGTGAAATACATTTGTCCATATTGCACGTATCACTTACCATATATATGATCACTTTCTGTTTCTTCGAGTGTCCATAAATGCCAACAAATGATCCTAGTACACCGAGACCTCCTGAGATACTGACAGCCAGGAAGATCTCTGGTTTCGCATTTTGTAGTATAGTTCTGAATTGATTTAATGTGATTTGTGGTTGAATTCCGAGTGCTAACAGAACAACACCGAATACCTGGATTGTATAAGTAAGATGAAATGAACCACCATATGAGGCGAACACATGTAATGATACTTACTACAAAACTACAATTGCACAGGATGAATACTTTAGTCCAAGATTCACTTGACAATAACATTTCAATATTGTTCACTGAGATGATGATATTGTGTATGCTGTATGAACTGGTAATAAATGTGAGTCAATGTATCTTTCACTTTCAATGTGAATTTTCACAAAATATCAAGTGAATTAGTAAAATTAATTGGGATTCGTCTGAATTAATTTATTCATTGTACTGTGTATTTCTAATAGAAATTCATGCACAACACAAAGTTAACTTACTTAATTCAGAAGCACTAATGAATCACATCATCAACATTATCATTGTCACTATGGTTCAGATTCTTGTCACCCTAAATAGTTAAAATTGTGTTGTATGTATGTTTATGCATTTGTTAGTAGTAATTGTGTTGTAGTGTCACTCATTCAAGTCACGGTAATTAAAAGTAATTTAGCTGCTTATTAAAATCATGTGAAAATGAATTAGACATTAATTTGTCGGAATGGCATAGACTGAAATTTGTTTATTTCCAACATTCCACTCATTAACCTTCCTATTCATATGCATTATACAGTGTTTACATCGACATTGTGAGTGGTTGGATATTCAGTAAGTTCAACAGTATTTCCTCAATTATGACAGGTAACTCTTCAGTCAATATCATGGGGACATAGTTCAAAATACATTCAGATGATTGACGAAAATAACGTTGAAGAACACGAGCTGTGAATGTACATCACAATAATTTGGGATATCTGTTTATATGGCAGTTAACTGTGACTGAACAGGATGAGCTGATTTCATTCTCAAAGAATTCAGATGATTTTGCTAGATTCCCATTTGATAGCTCAGATAAGGATATGTCTTAAGCAGTAGAAAGCCGTACTGTTTAACCATATTATACACCGTTCGTTCTCATGAAAGTTTCTTTTTATCTTCGCGTTGTATAGTATGTTATGTACATGAAAATCAAAGCGTCTACCTATTTCTTCTGTAAATAGTAGACAGAAATAAATATCCCCAAAAATATGGTGTTCTCGAGTGCAGCTTGTATTACTATGGATCACCTTTTCTGAGGATCTTTCACAAAAGCTTCTGTTACATTGTTGAAACCAATCCAAAATAACGAAATGATATTCCAATAAAATCAGAATTTCATGAATGATTTGAACAAGGAGCCTGTAATGAGATAAAGCCTCGTGAATACAACTTTTTATTCATGAGTATATCACATAGTGTGGAACAATTCACTTATTTTCTGATTACTCTCGCCAATAAAATACACTTGATCATTGTCAACGGTTACTTTTGCTTCACCATTGATATTACAATATTCTATACTACTGTTGTAACAAATTAAATCAACTGATTCGTTTCATTTGAACACTCGTATACATGAGAATACTCATGTGAAATATAAAAATAGAAACTACTTCTCTAGTTAGTAGTATATACACACATAGAAGTAAACGCAAATACATTCATCACACAACAACAGTAAATGTTCCACCATCATTTGAATTGACAACCACAATTATTTATACATTGACGCATCTCAGTTAGAATGAAGATAATTAGTCGCATATTTTGTGACAAATCACACATCATCTATCATAACATTTCAATAGTAAAATCGAATATCCGTCAACATTCTCTTATAGTCGATCCATTATCATCAAACTGACAAATACGAACTAAACATTCCCACAAAACAATTGGAAGCGCTTTTCATCCTATTCAACTGTTTGCTTGTAGTAAGTGACGCTTCTGTATTCCTCTTGATTTGCCCACTTCATTCTCATCTATGTTATCAAGATATTTGATGGAGTTCGGCTTGTCTATGAGATAAAATGGAATTAAATCAGAGAAAGCATTGAAAGAATACCGTGAAATTGTACACGGAGCAGTACCACTGTTCTCTCTCATGGTTTGCATATCAGGAGGTATTTCCATCTTCGCGTCATTGATTGCAATAGTTGGTCTATGGAATCATCTGAAAAATGATTGCATATCTGGTAATGAATGAACGAATTTTGAATGAAATTCAACCATCCATTTGACTAAATAGAGTTTTGGCATCGAAGCTGATGTCAGTTCGTGATGAAAACCCGAAATCTAATTCCTAACACTAACCATCAACTGTAAATCATAATTCTAATCCCCACACACATTGGTTTTAGTTATTAAGTGGACACACTCAAGACCAATTTAGCGTCGCTCAAGGGTCGACCATAAATTATAATCTCACCAATATAATTTATTGTTATTGATGTTTGTGTGTGGTACTTGGTTGTTTTGACAATTGTAATTCTTACCGATTTAGGTACATGATGAAAATCTTGTGTTTCAGGGAATCAAGTGGGTTCGATGATGATTGAACTGGATAGATTCTAACAAGTTGATCTTTGTTGTTTGTTGTCTTTCTTTCTGAATGTTCATAATTTATTAAATCGTACCTTAAAGGAATATAACGATAACCCAGTATACAGATCTCAGTTTAACCGGATTCAAAACTACATATATCGCCAATAACTGCGAAAGAATCAAAGGTAACTCTTCAAAGCGTCAAACGGATAAAATCAGGATGATAAATGAGTTGAATGTGACAGGTACATATAAGTATTTGGAAATACAACACATCAACGGATAATAACTACTCAATATGCTCAGAATGAAATGAGTAACTGAATAATAATTATAATTAGTTATTAATAAAGGGTTGTCGAGATTGTTGAATTTCATTAAAATCATGAATGGATCAACGTTAGATCACTATCGAAAACGTGAGAGCACTGGACAGCCGTTTCGCCGACATTACGATATAAATGACATAAGCCTTAAAGAGATCAGCAAATGGAATCGCTTTGGATGTATGCAACTTCCAACTTAGGACAATAGCTACTTCTACAACACTAAACCAACAGTAAACTGATAAGTATGCCACAAAATCTAGTATTGTTGAAGGAAATCTACGGAAAGTATTGAGACGAAAATAAGACAACCATCATTTATCTGCTTAGACGTGTTTTTACACTAACTTTCATGCAATCAAGGTGTCTTGTTCTTCAGTCTTCATTCTGTATCTTACTTCATAAATTCATGTGTATTTATTTTCAGTAAACAGCTGTGAGGATGGTTGAGTTCTGATTGAGATCATGAATCGACCAATGTTAGATCACCATTAGAAAGCTGAAAACACCGGAAGGCCTTTCCGTTCTAGCAATATTTATTTGAATATACACAAAATGAAGTTAAGGTGAATAGAACAACGTTAACATGACAAGTATATGTAACAAGGAATTGAGGATCGCACGATGTAAATTTTCAGCATCTGCGAATTTGCGACTGAACGTTACAAATATGCATTGGTCATGTGTCCCAGGTGAATTGTGAGAAGAGTAGTAATTTCCTACGCAGATATGACCAATCGATTTGTTGTGAATAGAATGTGTTAAGAATATGTAGGAAGCATGTTAAACCATAGTGTAAAATGTATACTTTTGAATAAATGAACTGTATAGTTTGAGTAGTGGACAAATCTTGGTTATTGTAGCACGGACATCGCTTTGTATTTGTTAACAGTAACGTGCAGAGATGTTACGTCAAACGTTTCCTCAGACATTTACCTATTCAGTGTTGAAATTCCCTTCAGAATTGGAAGCTTTCGATTGGTTCATATGCAATTAGAGTGTTTTACAACAATCAAACATTTACTTACCAGTGAATATGGTTTTATTCCAGACAAACATGAAATCGGTAGAAGTTGTTTAACATGTGGATAATCGTTGGATGAATCAGCCCCACAACAACGGAACTGTATGTAGAGAGTTAACACATTTACCAATGTTATATTTACTTACTGTTGTTTGTAAATCATCAAATTCTATTTGATAACGAAGATTTGTCCAATATTGTTTAACATTCGTATTTAACGAACTATGAGCTTCAGTGAAGAACTGTATACGTGAAAGTAATCGGAAGTCAGACATGAACTAACTTGGTCGTTCATTAAACAGGATGTCGATGCTATGCCAATTTCCATAAGTATTACAATGGTCAAAGTACATAGATGCTAAACGTAAAAGTTGGATAGAAATGCATATGCATATGCATTAATATTTCAATGGTTACCAGATACATGATCATGTTTCTTTCACTCAATATTGCTAATATTCCGATGCATGCAGCTAATATACCAAGACTTCCTGAGAAAGTAGCAGTTAGGAAGATGGGTGGTATAGTTGCTTGTAAAATCCTCTTATATCCAGATAGATTGGTTGGTAGTTTCATGCCGAATACAACCACAATGCTGCCAATTGTCTATATTGCATCATAAAGAATGAAATGAATAGAACAACAGAGAAACAAATCAATGGAAATTATCGCTTACAATAAAAAGACAATTCAAGAAAACGAACAATTTTGTTGAATATCGTCCAACTATTGACAAATACATGATTTTGAACTGGATGATGATCTTGTAGGGGAATAGCCACGAGAGTTTTGTTGTGTTCACGAAATCTCTATTCTTGTTGATGAATTTCACACTGAATCCCCTTTCTATTTTGATTAATCCATTCGAAATTGACTTTTAATTAAATTTCATACCTACTGACTGTGTCAATTTTGTTGATGATTTGCCAATGAGCCTGTATTTGAGTGAAAGAAGAAGAAATGAATGAGTGAGTTTAGCCTACGCATAACAAATGTGAATAGGCTTTTGATAGATTGATATGCATACTGTTATGTATCATATAAATAAGCATTGATGTAATTCACCATGTAAAACATTATTGTATGTTTATTTTTCACTAATTCTATATGGTGCAATACATGTGACTAGTTAAAGGAATCTAATTCTCAGAATCGGTTTTGTGGAGAGTTTCAGAAATTTCACAGGTTGAAATCATGAGTCAATTGAAGCTAGACCACCATGGAGAGAAGCCGTTACCATTGTAGTTCAACCAGGTCTGTTGTGAGATAACAACTCTCTGAAGACAATGGTGTACGGTGGGGCAACTTCGTGGATTGGTTGAAGCTAGCAGGTCCTGGGTTCGAGCCCCGCGTGGTTCGGGGTCGTGGATGCGCGCTGCCGAGAAGTCCCGTGCTAGGACGAGACGGCCGTCCAGTGCTTCTAGGTTTTACATGGTGGTCTAGCTTCAATCGACTCATGATTTCAACCTGTGGAATCTAATCCTATGGTAATGTATTGTAATTTTGAATGATAACAATAATCATCACATCGATACTACTTAATTAGCGATGAAATAGATGAAATAGAAACATGTTGCACAGGTCAATGAAAATTGATTAGTGAGCTGTTGATTATTCTGTTTTGTATTCATTTAATTCTAGGTAGATCAATCTTTTCAATAGATAATACCCATACCTGGAATCCTCAAGGAGAAGAGGAAGACCAAAGAACATATTACGCGAAGAAATGTAGACAGACATGAGAAGAATGAACAACAATTGAATTGTACTGGAAAGGAAGTTCCAGGAGAGATTGGGTTGAAGAATGCTGGTCGGTGGCCTATGCTCCATTGGGAGTAACAAGCGTAATGTAAGTAAGTAAACCAACTGTTCAATAGATAATTCTTCATTTTACAGTGTCCGACTGTTGAATATAAAACAAAGCCACTTATTTATTACTAAATTGTTACAATTGAAATTAGATACTTATTAAAATTAAGTAGCATTTTCAACTTCATATCACAATGATCTGACCTCAAAACTGATGGGATACGAGCGATGCATCGTTTTTCATTGAGTTGAAGTTTAGTGGAGATTAGATTGATTTACACGTTGTATTCGCCACAGATTAATGAATGAAGCTAATGTTATTACATTTTGTGTGTTGGTTTATTCAGACAGGTAACTTTTCTCATTGTTAAGATTGAGCCGTATTATATGCTGGACGTCAGTGAGTAACAGCAGTCATATTCCACAACATAGGACTAGGCATGAATGAGTTGAAGGCAATGATCTCATCTTCACAAAACGTATTCATTACTGATATGTTAATCATATTTCATTTATCGACTGAAATCATATTCTTAGTAAAATATTTTCAGTTTACATCAATGATAGATGAATAATCATCAATGAGAGTTTGATGTTTATGATCACAACATCGGTACTGCATTTGCTATTTTAACTCAATAATGGAATATTGGGGAAAGTCAACGAAATCATGAATTGTTCACTACTGACTGGATTCGAGAGGAAATTTCCGGAGTTCTTATGAAAATCCCTGACTCTTAGAATTCAACCGTTTTTTGTTTGTTTCAACAACATATCCTTCGAAGACACTGGAACATGATCTTCATACGTTTAAATGAAATTGTGAGATTACATTCAGAATGTAAAAGGATATTTTATGGTTCAAGAAGTGCAAGTAATGTGGCTACACAGTATATAAAGTATTTAGTCGAAGATTATTTACTGTGGAAAGTGATATGAATTTCAGTTAACATGACATACTAATCATTTCAGCACTAACACTTTCATTTTACAAATCATTCCATGTTCACATACAGCAATTTCAGAAGTATTTACTATAAAGTTGGTTATTCATTTGGAACATTGATTTAGATCTAAATTTGAAGAATTTAATGGGAAGTTATTGATTAAGTAATGTAATAACAAATCAGATCAAATGTCTGATCACAGGTTATGCATTTTATAGAATGATAAAACATTAATAAGAAATATTCACAAGAGTATAGATCATAACTGAAACACAAGGGTATATAACTGACAACAACAGTAACAATAAGAATTAGACAATTTAATTTTACTACATCAGTTGAGATGGCTCGGGCATGTGTTACGTCTACTAAACCATCGACTGCCTCGACGTGCGATGTTCAGTGGTATAGGAGTAGGTTGGAAGAAAGCTAGGGGAGGCCAGACCAAAACATGGCACAAGTCCATGAAGTCATTGACAAGTGGACTGAGTGAGCTATGTTGGTAGGTGTAGACTACCTGGTTGGGATCCGTGAGACAATAGCAACCGATGGTTTGAGGCCCTGAATGACATGGCTCAAAATCATTTGCAATGGCGCAGATGCATCCACTCTTTGTGATCTTCCGAATTCTAATCTTCTGTATGCTTTATATCCCTTTTCTTTTTCTCTTTCCAATTTTATTTCACTGAATTATACTGCTTGAATAACATCTTCAAACCCTAATCTTTCTGATTACTGCTTATACTCTTACCACTTCTACCACTACGGGATTTGAACCGACAATTGTATACCTTAATAAATTTAAATAGAAGAATTATGGCAAGGTTTTTGTAAGTCTTTTGTTTACTGGTATTTTTATACCCAATTAATGATAATAAATAAATTCCGATAGTTTAGATGCACAATCGATTGATCACTGATTATAAACCAACTGTATATTTGTCAAGTCCTTTAGCACTACCGATCAAATTATACCGATAGTTGACACGACTTTCTGAAAAGTGATGACTAGCACGAAGCCTGGGTGCTTGTTTCTTGGAAAACTGAATCTAATCACTCACCGTTTCAATACCTTTGTCTTACTTTTCCTTAGGGGATATGAATAGTATCTATAATAGATGGATAGCCAGATTACATTATGCATATGGAAACAATGTTTAACAAACTCAATGCTTGCTAAATAAACTATGGATCGATAGATATCAATTTTCAATGGATATTATTCTTAAATGGTTCGGAACTACAAAGTTATAAGATTCTTATGAAAAGAGATGTCATTAACTTTTTCACCATACCATTAAGGACCCGTCTATAGATACCTGGTATCCAGTCATTCATGGAAGGGTTTTTATAAATCAATCTTTCCAGAATTCCATCATGTTTTCTGAGCATTTCAACAATAAGAAAGAGGATGTCCAGCTTGTTTTTCACTTCAAGCATAAATATTGTTGATATTTCTGTATGATATAATTCAAATTATATTTATTGTCACAAATCATTTAAGTAATATTAATAATTTCAATAATTGAAATCATGAGTCAATTGAAGCTAGATCACCATGGAAAACCCGGAAGCACTGGACGGCCGTTTCGTCCTAATATGGGACTCCTCAGTTGTGCACATCCACGATCCCGCTCGCGGGATTTGAACCCAGGATCTATCAATCTCGCGAGCGAGGGTTTGACCATTAGAACACTGAGCTGGTATCTTACGGTGTTAATGTCTAACTTCAACCAATCCACGAAATCGCGCCACCGTCTACCATGGTCTTCAGTGAGCTGATATTTCACAACAGACCTGGTTGAACTCCAACTCTTTATAATGATAGGATTCTCATATATACTCAACTATTCATAGATCATATGATCAAATGTCTGTGTCTTTGTAACCAGTTGCTGAATACTTTGTGGACTATTATCAAAACTTAGTTGGTTGGAGCCAATGAATGACTGAAATGAAATAAAAAGGGAGGTGATGAGAATCTTGGTAAATGCATATTGCTAATTAAATTACTGAATTATCGTAACTAGCCCGAAGTTAAATTTGACTTAGCAACCAAAACTATATTAAGTCCAGTCTGATGCAATGTAATTCTTGAAGACAAATTGCGTAATTAAATTCCAAAGTAGGAGATATTTATTGTCATTCGAACCAATTATCATTCTGATGTTCCTGTAAATATGTCGGACCTTCAATGTGTTTTTTTTCGTAGAGTCAAAAGGCTCATGTGCTTCAGTTCTTCATTGCTGTTTAGGTAAAGTAACCAAGAAGATCCACAAGACATAAACACTCAATTGCCATTGTAATGTGCAATACGATTCGAGCACAGCCATTCTATCTAGGTAATATATGGTTAAACTAGGAGCAATAAATTCGATGATGAAATCAAAGCTTCTGGATCGTATAGTTGGTGACATGAAGAAGCCACACTGAAAAGATGTATTGTACAACAACGAAGCAAGTGTTCAGAGATTTCTGGATTTCAGCAATTATATGACCGTAGTCAGTTCGTGATATAAACTCATAATTATAAGTCAAATGGTACACGTTGTTGTAACTGAGTTTTTTAAGCTTTCATTATTAAAAGTTATTCAGTATGAATATTTAGAATATATTGTATTGGGAAATTCATTCGCGTATTTGGCTTATTTAATTCGATAATTATTTACGAGGATTGAAAATATATGTATCTTAATAGCAATCAAAAGCAATCAAAATGGAGTCAGATCCCGGGCCACTAAAGTGGTGAGCCCGTCAACAACATTGTCCAATCTAATTGACTTCAAAATGTCGGGCCACTAAAATATCATATTTACATGTGACGACAAATTGTGATCAGCGAAATTCCCGGTGGAAACTGAACTAAATAACCCAATAAAAACGTATGTGTTCTATCATGTTGCTTTTATTCATTCAAAATGATAGATTATCGAATATTGAAGTATTAAAACTTATGAATTGTTGTTAACTAAGAGTTATTTAGAAGTTGACTTAGCTAAAGAAAGCTTTGATAAAAGGTGACGCAGAATATATTTGAATTATTTCCAAACGTTTTAAATTACTGATTAATACTAACGAAATATTTCCTGTGTGGCAATTATTTACATGGCAGGTTAACATCAGCAACAGACTACTGTGGGTTAGCTTAAACCAACTTCCAACTAAAATAGAAATTAGGGAAAGACGTTCGAAGAGAATAGGACAAAAACTGAAGAAATCATCAAACTGCATCACGAGGTAGGCGCTATCTTAAAATTTTGAAGGGAAACAAAAAAAGAGAAAGGCCGACGAACACACTGCGTCGGAAATTGGGAGCAGACATGAAAATGATGAATAGCGACTGGAAAGAACTGGAAAGTTGGATAGAGAATGCTGGTGGTTGGCCTGAATATTCATCCAACCTGAACTATATATTTCAATAAAAGCATCTGACCTTATTCATTTTCACACCTAATTTTAACCCCACTAACGTGATTTTACGAATGCATACATTTCTCATATACACACTCTGACACACAAATTAATACAATGACAGGTCACACAAAGTCACTTTGACCAAGAATAACTTGACATTGACATGTTCGAACCTACTATGCTTTTGATTGTACTAAAATCATTCCTCGTTTTTTCCTTGGTACTATTCAAACTTGTATTAATATAGCTTAGTTATGTAGTCACCCTGAAGAGGTAGCTTACATTAAGTTACGAAACGCCTTCAGAAATACAATGTTTCTACTCATTGAGATATACCCAATGCCTAATTTATTTGAAACTATCAAGACCAACATTGGTATTGATACATGTATCGTTAAAATGCTTCTTTGCTATATATTCTTTGGATGCCTAAGATTTAAATAAATTTTCACAGAAAGACAACACTGCACTAACTCAAATTTTCATGTCTTAAATTAAGTGACAATCGTTCAAAAACTATTGTTTGATCACTAAGTTGACGTAGGTTTGACTTTGTCATGTTTGTTAAGTTGAACTATGAAAGGTCAAACTTAAATAAGTTTTTGATTGAGATCATGAACCGATTGATGTTAGACCACTATGGAAAGCCTGGAATCAATGGACAGCCGTTTCGACCTATTGTGGGACTCCTCAGCAGTGCCCATCCACGATCCCACACGCGGGATTCGAACCCAGGGCTTTCAGTGCTCATATATTCGATTGTGTACTACTACTACTACTGAAGTGAACGAGAAGACCACAACTTTACAAAATCTTTTAGTAAAATTTGACAACAATACAGTATATACTTCATCTGAAAAATGTCAACCAATTGTCTTAAACTTTATTTTATCTTCGTTTCCATACCAATCACACTCTGTTCTCATTCTTTTCTCTTCAATCTTCCTAACCTTCTGCCGCCAGGCATTTAAATTTTGATTGGTGATACAAACTACTTATATCTGTCGATATCACTAATGCGCACCATACTACTACTACTACTACTATTACTACTACTACTACTATTACTACTACTACTACTATTACTATTACTACTACTACTACTACTACTACTACTACTACTACTACTACTACTACTACTACTACTACTACTACTACTAGTACTAGTACTACTACTACTACTACTACTACTACTACTACTAATAATAATAATAATAATAATAATAATAATAATAATACTAATACTAATACTGCAACCACCACTATTACGACTACTACTGATCAGAATACATTGATAAATAAAGAATTCCTTTTTTCTAATTTGCTCAAAAAATCTGATTTTTATTGTCTGGCATATGTAATGACTCATTTTAAATTTGCACACATCACAAGTTAGTTACCTTTTCATTTATTTTACTTTATCCATTTGTTACTGTTAAATTGTTGTTGAAATTGACAGTTTTAGATTGACAGTATTTAAGCCTGTTTTCTTCTTAATGATAGATTCAAAATTGGTGTAACACACGTAAAACCCATTTGGTCGAAACGTAACGAGAATGAAATAAGACACAATTACGAGATATGAACGATTATCTATTTAACTATATCCGACGGCAGCTGCTTGAATATCTGGGCGTAACTGTTTCAGTCATCTGGATATTTCAACAAGATCTCTTTTTGCTTGTTTGTTTTAATACATCATTATGCCTATTAGTCTTATAGTCTATTCAACTGTGTTTGTGAAACATTTACGACATTTCACTCTACAACTTACAAAAGAGCCAAATCAAAGACATCGTGGTCGTTGGCAATCTACATCGAAAAGAACATACATTATTCAGATGTCGAATAATTGGACTGCTAACATGTAACTGGAGACCACTTAATATTTATTGGATGGATCGATCAAGAATTAAGAAATGGAAACTTGTTAAAATACTTTGTGTTGAGAACTCTATGTTGTACCAGAAATATAACATTGAATAAAGCCAATAATAATAATAATTAATCACATTTCAAAGATGATATGGTCAGTGAAATAGTAACGTACATTCAATACGGCAAGCAAATATCCTACTTTCTTCAGTTGGTCAATAATGATTTCACAAAATAAAGATGAGTTGCCTAGTTCCTCTGCCTCTACGTGTATTTACAATTTAAACTGCTCCTACATAGCTAGTTATACTAGGCTCACAAGTAAACAAATGCATCATCATATTTCTGAACATTACCCTATATGGTTGACCAAAAGACAAAAAAAGGAGTAATAACAAACTCTATCTTGGTGCATCTGGTTGATACTGATTATCACGTAGATTAAAGTTCAGCATTTAAAGTTATAAAATCCAACCGAATTTACCCGATCGTTTCAGAATCCGACTCTTACATATATTAGAAGCTATAAGAATAGACATCAAAACCATTTTAATTTCTTATCTTAATCTTACGTAAGCCGTTTAATAGTCTTATTATCTTGTTTTCACTTTACCTTTCCTACAAAGTACTTATTAAGAATTTCACAGATAACAATTTTGAATACCTATGCTACTCTTATATAATTAACAAATCATGAAAATTCACCTTAACTAATACGATATGAAAGGGTGTTAATACCATGTGTTGGATATCTGTTGGGGACGTTAGATCCCCAGAACTCATTTGGAAAAAAAGGACCTAATTTTGTAATTTATTTAGAAAATTTGAATTTCTTTGTTTTCGCGCCAGAACCGCCCTTGTCACCTTCATGTCGTATTTCCTACTGGGAACTATCTTAAGAGCTATTGGTTCGTTGTGTTTTTTAGTATCCTATTTGGTAACTCTCCCCAAGAACGGTTTTACACTGTATGTATATACGTTTTGAATTGTGTTTTTTGTTATAGCTCGTTTCTGGCTGTTTGCAGAATATACTTTCCCATTCTAAGCTTGGACTTCTCCCTCTAGTTAGCAGGGCTAGGACGCATCAATAGCTAGCTTACTGGTCTTTGTTCTCGTTCGCAGATTAAGTGAACTCGTGATAGCTTCAAATATAACAATTACTCAATACTTCTAAGAATCATTGAATGAATCAAAAATCAATTATTCACATATAATTCTATCTTAATCATCAAGAAGTTTCATCTAAATTTATAAAACTTCATCAAATCATAACATATTCTCAATGAGATCAATTAAACATGTTACATCTCAATGAAATACACTTCTGTATGACGAAGAATTTGTTGTTTTTTTTTTTTGTTTATTTAGAAAGCGTAACACTTTAATTAACCATGTGATAATATTGAAAAATTCTTCATAACACGTTTACATAAAAATCAATCAGTAACAACGTAAACACTTACGTTATCATAATTTACTTTAATGTTCATTTTTTGACTTTCATCAAATATAAGACAATACATTTTTCTGGTTAGCGTTTTATTTTTAGCAAGTTAGTTTTTTTTTACTAGGATAGAGTCGTTAACCCCATGCCCAACCCTCCTCCTTTATCAGGTCTTGGGAACGGCAATAAGGCCAGAGGGGCTCCAGACGGAGTTATAAGACAATATATGCTAGACTTATTATACTGTAAGTAAGTAGAAATAACTCTGCTTGGAGTCTCTCCAAGATTACTGCCAATCCTAAGCTTAGATAAACGAGAAGGATTGGGTATGGAATTAGCGACCCCATCCTAGTAGAAAAACTAACTCGTTAGAAAATAAAACGTTAACCAGAGAAAATAAAAGTAAATAGAAATGATAAATATGTCACAGAAAACATTTGAAGAAAAACCCTGATCGATATGTTCGGTAATTCTCTTAGATTCATATATATTAAAAGGTATTTTCAATCAAATGGTTACATATGGTTACTATGACAACTTAGAAATACTAATGACACAGTATTTACCAAGATTCACTGAATATGTAGTAATGATATAGTGAATGATAATAGTATTCAATCATCAGTAGATTGATAGATAGAATAATAAATACCATCCATTTCACATTTATTGTTGATAAGATCAGTTGTTGTTGTGTGTTTTTTTGTTTTTACTAAGAAACAATCAACCCGCTATGAATGTGTTCAGCCTAGAAAAGGTGTCCGAATCAATATCGAATGAGAATTTTTTAAAAAAGTGATATTTTTGTGAGTTTTTCTTTATTATCTTCAGTGAATTCATTAAGTAGTAAATGGTATCTTATTAGAAATGAAGTCTGTTTTTGAATTGTTTAAACCAAAACGAAATGAAACTTTTTTTTTCTCTTCAATACAATGTTTATGCAGCGAAAGCTACTCCATCATCCGATTTACGAATCATCCAAATTGAAATACCCAAATAGGCACCTTGAAGAATAGCTGTGATAAAACATAACGCTATTAATACAGTTGAATAACTTTGTGCAAAGCCAGTTACTTCTTCAATACAACCCTGTAAATATAGGAAAAAAGCTTAAAGGGAAATTTGATAAATTATATGTATATAAATAGTATATAACTTGAGTCAGGAATGTAATGTCTGGCGGCAGAAGATGAGGTAAGTTCAAAAAAGGAGGAACGAGAATAGAAAGCAATTAGTATAGAAATGCAAGAACAGTGAAGTCCGAGACAATTATTGAACATTTTGCAAATTAAGTATTAGAGTATGATTTTTCTATTTTACCAAGTAACTCTACGGTGTCATCCTCACCAGTGTTCTCCTTCACTACAATTGTTCTTCATGAAAGGTTGAAGAAAACTCAAAGTGTTAGATGTTATGATCTTCTGAATAAGAAATAACTATCTGACTTCAATATTAGAGTCTGATCTATTTCAATCTAACTCAGTAAACTGATCACTAAGAAGGAAATACGACTGAGTTGAATATGGTATGCCATAACGTAGTCAAAGCGAACAGCTATTGAATAATGAATCAAATGATGAACACTTTGATAAAATGTTGTCCCATAGAAACTGTATTTTAGCTCCATGGTATTATATCGTTTCACTAAGAAAGACATTTATTTTAGCATACTACTGTAGTGAATGAGAAAACAAGTGGGGACAATCAAATGTATTCGAATGCAAAATTATAGAATGTCTTAGTAAGATCTAAGAACCATACAGTAAATACTTCATTTGTGAAATATCAGACAATCATCTCAGACTTTATTGTTCTTTCGTTTCCATACCAATCATTCTCATTCTCTTTTGTTTGATTTTCTTAACTTTCTACCTCCAGGTATATCAATCTCGATTGATGATACATACTACTTTTATATGTTAGTCAAAAGCTCAATCATGGAGCATCTAATCAATTCCTGTCACTCCGAGTCACCAGAAGCCCCTTTTAGTATTGTACATTGTCAGAAAAGTTGGATTAATTAAAACTTTTCTATCTACTATGGAGCGAATAAAATTGGTTATCAATATAATTGTACAGTTTGAATGAATAAAGTCGCCAAAAAGAAAATTTTCTTCACTGAATTACCTTCTCTCTTCTTCAATAAAAATGAAAATCAAAAACACTAACAAAGAACATCTAACCATAGGTAAGTTGAAATCATTTGATGTGATTCCTAAAACTGAATTTCGTATAAAAATAGATTATAAAGACATATAAAAGATGACTGAATACATAACGTATCGATGAGACCTATTGAAGTGTCGTTAAAAATAGTTGATTGCGACATGTTCAATGGTAATGAGTTCGTACCCCAGTCCGAAGGTCCTGGGTTCAAGTCCCGTGAGCGGGATCGTGAGTACTCACCACTGAGGAGTCCCACGATGGGACGAAACAGCCATAGAATGCTTCCAGGTTTTCAATGGTGGTCTCAATCAAAAAAAGTTTTACAAAAAACAAACTTAAAAGATGTTACAGTACAGTAAAATTACCATAAGTTTAAACAAGGACACCTTAATAATTCGTCAACTTTCAGATTTACTTATATCTGTAAAGTCGAATGATAATTGTGTTAGATAAATATGAGAAAGAAGATTTAATGCTGAATTTAGTCTGTTTGATATGAATTTACTTTAACAAGAATAGATCACAATCATATGAAGGCCGGTTTCAATTCATATGAGATGTAATAAGGATTTGATATGAAACATAACTAGAACTAAACACTAAATTTCACTTGCTTCAATATCTGAGCCTAACTGTTCCAACCACTTGGATATTTCAACAAGATCTCTTTTTGCTTGTTTGTTTTAATACATCATTATGCCTATTAGTCTTATAGTCTATTCAGCTGTGTTTGTGAAACATTTACGACATTGCACTCTACAACTTACAAAAGAGCCAAATCAAAGACATCGTGGTCGTTGGCAATCTACATCGAAAAGAACATACATTATTCAGATGTCGAATAATTGGACTGCTAACATGTAACTGGAGACCACTTAGTATTTATCGGATGGATCGATCAAGAATTAAGAAATGGAAACTTGCTGAAATATTTTTTTCCTATTGTGGGACTCCACAGCAGTGCGCATCCACAACCTCGCCTCCTGCGAGGTTCGAACCCAGTGCTTCCAGGTTTTCCATGTTGGTCTAGCTTCAACTGACTCATGATCTTAACCATTGAAATTACTATAATATCCTCAAAACCCATCTGAAATACTTTGTGTTGAGAATTCTATATTGTAATAAAATTATAATATCGAATAAAGCCACTAATAATACATCCATACATACATAAAATAGACAGTAAACTAACAAGTATATTTTAATCTAATTTAAACAACTAGCTATAAACGTTTAATTCGGTTAACAATTATATTCACATTGGATACTTGTATTAGTTGAATTCAGTCAGTATGCAAATATCTTTTTTTAAAATCATGTTTCATTCTCTGAGCTGGATAGTTTAGTTGTGGAGCCTTTACTGAACTTTTTAACGTCATCAGCATAAATTTCACTAAATTAATCCATCTGAAGTACAACTCTTCTCCGTTATATCAACATATAAGCATTCACAAAATCACTCATTGATCACTCATTAATACATTAGAAGTGAAGAGAACTCATGGTATAATGAAAATAGAGTTTGAGAATTTTCAATATTTTGAGAAACTATATTTAAGTTACTGGTTTTGTAAACATGAATATTCAACTCTATTTCAACAGGTCGTTTTAGGAATTCGGTTTAAACAAGTGATAGTTTGTCCAGTTAATTATTACCTACCAATTAATTGATTTATAATCAATGACTAACTAATACGGGATCGCACCCAAATACCCTGGTACGCTCGAGAGTGGGGAGAGTCCGCTCTCCCTCTCGAAATGCTCTCACATGGCCACGTGTATATAGCCTCTGCCAGGGAAGTCCAACTCACTGCCTTCTCGTGGCACTACTGTTGTTTACGAAATTGAGAGGACGAAGAGCGAATGTCCGCCGCTTTAACCGGGTTGTTGGACATGGAGAGTACACCTAGAGGGGTTGGAAAACCCTGATTCCAAACCAATGGTGCACATGGGATCCAGCATCCTTAGGGGAAAATGGGGTAGGAACCAATCGTTGGTCACCGGCTACCATGGGACTGCATCTCCTTACGTTGTTCCACTGCCTTGTGAATCAGACCTTCAGGTAGAAGGCTCGGGGAGTGGCCCTCTAAGGAAACCACCTGCTTTGGTTTGGGCACCCGGGCAGTATCACAGCCCTCACACATATCGGATGAGATTTGTGTGGCATATATATATATATATATATATATATATATATATATATATATATATATATTTGGTGCCTCCTTGTACCAATATCATTATGTTAAAATAACTAAATAAATCAATACAGGATCATAAAAATTCAGTTAATTAGATCTTAGTACCATTAATATAAATGTCATGATAGAATGTCTACTAAAAATATTCATACAGATCATCTAATTATTTCATTTTCTACTGCTAATCATCGAAGTAATCAGAAGTCGAAATACAGAACAGTGTCGTGAACATTCGTACAATCGGTAGAAAATAGAGGGTACAATTGTGTTCTAGCTTCAATTGATTTATTATGATATTCACAAAACCCTTTCTAATACTAATCAACAAAAACTCACTAATGAATGGATTTAACAGGTATTTCATCGAGTTCTACTAAGAAAAAGTAACCAGTAAAGTTCAACCGGGTCAATTGTGAGATAGTAACTAACTAAAGACAATGGTGGATGTGTCGCTGAATTTCATGGATTAATTGAAGTTAGACATTAACACCGTTAGATACCGGCTCAGTAGTCTAGAGGCTAAGCGTTCTCATGTGAGACCGATAGGACCTGGTTTCTAATCTCGAGAAGTTGGATCGTGGATATGCACTATTGAAGAGTTCCATACTAGGACGAAACGGCTGTCCAGTGCTTCCAGGTTATCCATGGTCGTCTAGCATCAATTGATTCATGATCTTGACTATTAAAATTACTAAGATCTCCACAGAACCTTTTCGGATATTAAGTATTTTGAAAAATCATAAAGTAGATATCAATTGTTTAGAAAGAGATAATATAAGAAAATTAAGATAACTGTCTTGAAATACTAATCCATTTGGTAGAGAATTGCATGATTCAAATTAAGTAAAAACTAGGTCAAATTGACGTTAATGGGAATGACTACAACGAAATTAATTATATTATCTAAACGAAATACGAAATCAAACTTATCTCAGTATTCTATCTGTTATTCAACATATGACTGATGAATACTTTACATGATCCGATTCATCCTTTAGTTTATTGATTGTCGATGCTGATACAGATCTTTGTAAATCAGGTCAAAAGTTAACAATAACTCAAGTTATCTACTTCTAATCACAACCAAAGGAATTGTAAACAGATAATGATAAAAGGTCGATAAATCTATGGAACCATCATAGCATATATATGTCATGGAACATAAAAAAAGGTATGGAACATAACTGATAAATATTTATTTACTTACTGTTGCATAGGTCAATTCACCAACTCTACAAGACGGTGGTATCTTCATGTTATACGTTTTAAAATCTTTGTATGAATTAGCTCCACAACAATAGAACTATAATGATAAAATAATCAATTTTTTTTTGTCATTCAACTATAACCTACAGTAGTATGTAACTTATCGAATTCCGATGAATATTGACTTTGATTATAACTTGAAATAGAACTGAGTAATGATTGTTGAGCATCTGTTTTATACTATAAAATGATCTATTAGAGTATAATTGTATTCATCAACTAACTTTATCTTGAGTTGCTGCTGCTGCAATACCGATACATATATTCATCAATGTTGCTATACCTAAACTAATCATATGCTAAATATGAAAGAGGAAAATGATTACATAACATATATATATATATATATATATACTTACCACAAAGGCGATAATTTTCATTTTTTTCCATAAACCAAAAAATCCAACAGCTGCAGCTATCATACCAAGTAATCCAGTAAATATAACCGTTCCATATATTGCTGGTGGTGCTAATTGTAATATTGTACCAAATTTAAGTAATGCACCTAAGGCACTAATACCTAAGGCAAACATAATAAAACTAAATACCTAAAAAATGATAAGAAAGGAGAAGCAAAAAAAAGCAAAAACAATAAACTACTTACTACAAATAAACTATTGATCACAATGAATATTTTTGTCCATAATTCCGGTGTAAATGATAGTTTGTCCATGTTTTATTCTTCCTTATCTATCTAATAACAAAAAAAACGAAAAAAAATTTTTTGGGGTTTTTTTTTGATAATGAAATAATTCTTGTTGCTAACCAATTTATGTTTTACAGTCAACACAAAAAAACAAACAAACAAACGAACCAATAACCAATAATCATTCATTTTATATATAATACAATTCATTCAAGTGTGTATTACATATGGATTAGAGATAATTTATGCACATTCGAATTATTATTTTACTTTCTAGTCATGGTTATATGTTGTCAAGTCAATTATTTTTTTTAAAGAAAAAATATAAAGGAAACAATTATGTTGTAGCACAAAGAAGAACAGGAAAAAAACCCAACCAACCCCCCCCAAGAAAAAATTGATCATCTTTAGCCTACACAATAGAATATAATAAAACAGTTACTATATATATATATATATATATATTTATATATATATATATATTATACGTCAATCAGATACAATCGCTTTCTATTTAAGTAATATAAGTTAATATATATGTATATGTCTGCAAGTAAACGCATACTTTTGTTTTATAATGATTATGCCTATTGAGAATCAAAAAAAAAAGAAAAAAAAACAATTTTATTAGATTTTTGTATCTAACTAACAATGACATCAATCATGTGTATAATCTCAATCTAAAATTTAATGATCTTTACAATCTCATATTGATAATTATCATGTGATCACTAGTTACTCGATTCGTGAGGGAATTCTTGGAGTTCTAGTAACAAACTGTAACCAGTGAAGCTAATCCATGTCGAGTAGAGACAGGCAACTACCTCTGTAAAATGGTAGATGGTCAAACAATTTCATGGATTAGTTGAAATTAGAAGTTAAGCGAGTGAGCGAGAGACCGATAGATCCTGGATTCGAATCTTACGTGGCGAGATCGTGGATGTGTACTGCTGAGGAGTCCCATATTAGGACGGAGCAGCTATCCGAATGTTTCAGGTTTTCAACGGTAGTCTAACATTAATCGGTTCATGATCTGATTCAAAAAATCACAATAAAATTTTACTCTTTTTTAAAGCATTCCCAATTATAAACCTTGTTACTGTTTATTATACGTGTAGAGTTCATTATCAGTTGTTATAATTTGTAACAAGCTACGATGAAAATAAGTATATCACTTTATGTACTATAATCAATTTGGAGTCAAACAATAACTATTGTTTGAGGTCATGAACCGATTGATGTTAGACCACCATTGAAAACCTGTAACGTCTGGATGGCTGTTCCGTCCTAGTATGGGACTCCTCAACAGTGCGCATCCACGATCCCGCTCGCGAGATTGGAACCCGGGGCCCTCGATCTCATGCGCGCATGCTTAAATTATAGACCTCCGAGCCGTCATCCAGCGGTGTTAATATCTAACCTCAAACAATCCACGAAGTTGCATAACCATCTTCCGTTGTACTGAGATACCTGTCTCTACCTCACATGGATTAGCTCCACTGGTCACGGCTTCTTACTAGAACTCCGAGAACTCCCTCACAAAGCTAGTCACTAGTGATCATATGATAATTATCAGTATGAGGATGAGGAGATCATTGAGGTTTTGTTTGAGATCATGAACCTATTGATGTTAGATCACCACTGAAAACTTGGAAGCACTGGACGGCCGTTATTAGTGGTAATCGTTGTTAATGTAATTCGTCCCATTATAATTGTCATCCTAACTGTCCAGCTTATCCTATGGTTCCCCCCAGATGTTCACGTCTTTATGATCAGTCGATCACAAGGAGAAAGAGAAAGAATGAGAGTATGCAACCTTGCCTGACACCGATCTGTACTTTGAACGAGTCTGTCAGCTATTTTTATGCACAGTTTTTTTAGTTTAATCCATCAGTGTTGTCCTATCCACGCTATCGAATGCTTTCTCATAGTTAATGAAGTTAATGTAGAGTGATGAATTCCATTCAACTGATTATTCCACAATGATTCGTAGTGTTGCGATTTGGTCGATCCTCTCCGAGTTCATTCTGTTGATCTCGAAGTTGGGCGTTTACTGAGTCCTTCATTCTGTTTAATAACACCCTGTTGAAGACTTTTACTGGTATTGAGAGGAGAGAGTGATGCCTTTGTAGTTGTTGCACTTACTGAGATCACTTTTCTTTGATATCTTGTTCAGGCGTTCTTCTTTCCAGTCTGTTGGTACTTGTTCTTCGTCCCAAATTTTGCTGAAAACAGTTGTAAGCGCCATATTATTCTACCTTAATTGTTGATTTCGCACTTGTAGTGCCGGTTGACATGTTAAGCCCACATACCTTATTCTTGCTTTCGGACAGGTCAATCTAATCATTCTATTTGAGTTACATTTTAACCATGATAATTGTCCACTGATCAATCTTGACTGTTTTTACATGAGCGCATATGTGTGTGCACATTTCTTATCGTATTCATCACACGTCTGTAACGTATTTTTGTGTGAATGTAAATATTGAATAACGCTTGATTAAGTGGAGTTGTCTTACTCTTCATCTCCACTGCACGTCGTTTCACTTCGGTCTGCTCCATTCGCTTCATATTACAAAATATATGTATTCAAAAGTCCATTCTCGTTATTTGACTTATTTAATTTCGCTAATTACTCAACGCGGATTAAGTCGATAAAGATATACGAGAATAGTCAGGATATATATATATATATATATATATATATATATATATATATATATATATATATATATATATATATTGTTCTTCTGAATAACATCATCAGCAAAACTTCAGGTAGAAGCTTGTCCTGTACACCTTGATGTTGACTGGTTCTTGTTGACCTTGAACAGGTCATTGTTTACTTCTTTGTTTTAGTTGTATTTCCCATTGGTTTGATTTTTATTCCTATATTTGTCCATAATTTTCCTTCTCCAACATCTTAATTTACATAAAACTGTCATAAAAACATCAACCTTAGATATGTCGACCATATTTCGAAGCGAAATGTTTCAGTACAATATAAGTTTACACTAGTGCTTTATTTTCTAATCTGATGTATGTCTACAATAGGTTAACATATTCAACCTATTGCTGAAGTCAAACTCAAGGCTAACAGACACTTATTACATTGTGTTTCTTTTTTCCATTTTCAAATGGAACCAACTATCAAAGTTTCTGTGCTTTGTTATAACAATTCTTTAACTGTTCAGTTAGTTTCCTGTCGAGGATTAATATATTGATTGAAATCATGAGTCAGTTGAAGCTAGACCACTATGGAAAACCTGGAAGCACTAGACGGCCGTTTCGTCCTAGTATGGGACTCAGTGCTTCCAGTTTTTCCATGGTGTTCTAGTGGTGTCTAGTGGTTAAGTGCTCGAGCGCGAAGCCAGTAGATCCTGGGTTTGAACCCCGCGTGGTGCGGGATTGTTGATGCACCCAGCTGAGGAGTGCCATAGTAGAACGAAACGGCCGTCCAGTGATTCCAGGTTTTCCATGGTGGCCTAGCTTCAATTGACTCATGATTTCAATCAGTGAAATTTCTAAAAATCTCCCCAAAACCCCTTGTGAGTATTATTATAGTCTTGTACAAATAAATCCTGCAACAAAATATTACGTCATCATAATTATCATTTTTTAATAATTTACAAATGGAATTCCTTTTTTTGATTATGAAAGTTATTTATAATATCTCAGTTAATCTGTTTGACACTTTTTTTGTTTCTAAGTCACACAAATTATCACTGAGTGTTTTGATTAGTTGATCGATAATTTCATTAACTTTATAGAAAATAACATGTAAAATTTCGTTGGTAATTTACACTTTTCAATGTCATATGTGTCAAGTCTTTCTTAGTTTAGGACGAATCCTTTCTACCAAGTTGCAATGTGGCCACCAGTCTAGGTGACTGGACGTTGAATGCGCACTATGTTGTGATAAGATGGTGGTTAGAGGTAGTCAACAGAAAACGCTGGACCTAAGCTTCGTGCTACTTGGCAGTCATCAGCGAGGTGTATCTGTAATCTTGAGGTAACGGATGCTCCATGATCCCGTGTCACCCAGCTTCACATTCAGAAACGTTACCACTGAACTATCCAGGCCACAACTGACCTTCTTTAGGATTGAGATGTATTTATAATTGATTGATCACTGGGTGATGATCCGTGTCATATATATCAGGTGCTTCTTACTGCAAATCGAATCCGTCAGGGAGCATCATTTCTCTTAAGATTACAGGTATACCTTGCTAACGAGTGCCATGTAGCACGAAACCTAGTTTTGGGATTTCCTGTTGACTACCATCAACCACCATCTTATCGAAACATTTTTTGGGTTACAAGAAATTTATCTGATGAGGATAATTTTTTGACAAATTATTGATTTCTATCAAAAACGATTCTTGTAGACCGTTCATTGTAAAGATAATCCATAACACAGATTAATTTTTGTTCATTTTAGCTCAATTTTAAATAATCTTATAAATAATTCCCAATATTGAAGATAGAATTCTTCAAGTATTTATCTATTTCTTGATGTCAGGTGAATATCATCGAATGCAATAAATGATGAGTATGCTAACTAGTGAGTTGATTGAACTTGGAAATATTAACAAATGTATGTCAGTACAATCATATAGGTTTGATCAACTCATTCCAAACCCATGAAATCGTTATATTGTTTTTAGGAAGTAACCACACCCTACTGCAGATATATGGATGACACGTTCCTTGTCTGCAAAAATCACCAACACTCCATGTACCTACTTAGTCTGTTCAATAAAGTACACAAAGATATAGAATTTACCATGGAACATGAAGTTGATGATAAATTCCATTTCCTAGATATTGGAATTAGGCGAACATCAGACGGCACACTACAAAGACACATTCACTGCAAAAATACTTGGAGCGGAGTTTATCTCAACTTTAACAGCTTCTGTCCAATGAGTTATAAAAAGGGTATTGTGCGAAACCTTTTTGACCGCGCACGAAAAATCTGCTCAAAAGAATGCCTCGAAGAAGAAATTACTACAATCACCAAATGCCTACGTGAAAATGCATATCCGGATAAATTCATCCACAAATATGCTAATACAAACTCTCCGATTAAGCATGATACAGTTGAAAAGAAAACCTGCTTCCTATCCTTACGCTTCAAAGCAGATGAAGTCGCCGGAATTATCAATCACAGAATTAATTCCGCTTTAAAAGTGACCTACCCGGCAGCCAAACTGACTACGTTATGGAAAACATACTGCTCACTGAAACAAACGAAAATCGACAAGTCCTCTCCCCTCATTTGCTCCAACTGCATTTACCAATTCACATGTACGTGCCGTAGCACATACATTGGAAGAACTGAGAGAAGAGTACAGGTTCGCATTTCTGAGCATATTCAGAAGAATTTGACGCTGCGAGGGACTAAAGCTTTTAACAGTGCAATAGCTCGGCATCTACTTGACACCGGGCATACCGTCGATATTATGCGCGCGTTTAAAATTATCAATAGACAAAGAACTACTACCACTCTCTGCTTTGCTGAAGCCATTGCAATTAAGAAACTGAAACCGGACTTATGCATCCAAAAAGAGACTTTAATAAACTTATCACTACCCTGGTAATCCTTTTGTTTCTGTTTGTTTTGTGTTTTGGTTATTTTATTCATTTACTTATTCTAAGATAATTTATACTCCCCGCCCTATTACCTGGTTCTTAGAATAAATTTTATTCACACATTTCCATCACCTGATCCTCTTAAATCATCTTAACTTTCCAAACCCTATTTAATTATTATTACGTAATCTACCTTATCATTAATTAATTCCATTAATCTCTACAATTATCACACAATTTATGAGCTTCACTAAATTATTACACCACCCACCCTGGATTAATCCCCCTCTGTTGACCTCTGATCTGTTTCTAGCATATATATATATATAGTTATTATTGTAATCCAGTTATTTACACTCATTTATGTCAATTGTTTCACACTATCTCCATGTAAAAAAATTCTATCACAATTTTGGTTTGTAAGCAGCTGACGAGAAACCTCGAAATAATATGAATTCATACTATTCTGCATCAATGTTTGTTCTTGCTCTATTTAAATTCATAAAGGGAACCAATTGCATATAGGTTTGATCAACTCATTCCAAACACATGAAATCGTTATATCTTTTTTAGGAAGTAACAATTTTTCTAAGTCAATTTCGTGATCGAAACTATCTGTCTACCCACTTTTGGTGCTAAAGGTAACTTGGCTAATCCAGATTAAGACGTTGATGCGATAGGCTGACAAGTCAACTGGAACACTACTTTATTTATTCCCAATTCCCATCTGGCTCCCGATTTCAGATTTGTGTAAAAAGATACATAAATAAATCGATAACTAACCCGATCACAATGTACAGTAATTAGGAAAATACAATTACGTACAAAATAATACGTTTAAATTACAACAGCTTTGGAATACTAAGAAAGTTTATTCTTCAATTTGACTTAGCAACATCACTAAATCTTGGTAGTACCTTACAGTTTGTTTATAAACATAGGAAAACAATAAATGCTGCCGATTAGTTAGTTAGGGATTAACAAACATGAATGTTAATTGGTAAATTCTAACAAAAAACTCTACTATCTGTATACTTGCAAAATGTCACTAATACAAACAAATATATATCAGAAGGGGTTTTGTGGAGATTGTAGTAATTTCAACAGTTGAGATCATGAATCAATCAAAACTAAACCACCATCGAAAACCTCGAGAGATCCGAAAACAGGACCGATCAGTCTCGCGCCAGGCGCTTAACCAACTAGACCACTGAGCCGGGATGCAATTGAGCGACACATCCACCAATGTCTTTAGTTAGTTACTATCTCACAATTGACCCGGTTGAACTTAACTGGTTACTGCTTTTTTAGTAGAACTCGACGAAATACCTGTTGAATTCATTCATTAGTGAGTATTTGTTGATTAGTATCAGGAGGGGTTTATATCATGTGTCAACTGTAACTGTGTCCCTTGATTTGTGAATGAACTATGTGTTACATGTCAAAAACACATACAAAACATAACTTCATTCATTTTATTGGAAAGGTTTGAGGCATCATCAACCGGAAGTCTACTTTTAATTAAAGTTTGTCCTGATGATGTCATTCAAAAGGACGGTGAAATCTCCACGAACAAACCGTTCAGCTCAGCGAACAGAACTCCACCGAAATTCATACAACTTTATGACTTATTTATCTAAACATTATTACATATCTGATTCTAATCTGTCTCTTGAGAACAGGGATAAATCAGTTTAGAGTTTAATATTTTAAATGATCAACTGTTTTTAAGAGAAATAAACTAGCTTTCAGAATCTTTCTATGTTCATAATCAGTCATTAAGACAAAATAGCTGTCCAGTGCTTCCAGGTTTTCCATGGTAGTTTAGCTTCAATCGACTCATGACCTCAACTAATAATTGTATTATCCACGAAACCTTTTCTATTACTAATCAACATATGCTCATTAGTGACTAATGAATCTTATTATTATGAATCGATTTATATTTATGAAGTCAAATATACACTCCCGAAGGGATAGTAATCAAAAGTCTAAAACCAGATTAATGTACCCGAAAAGAGGCAGTAATAAACCTTGACTGACACTAGTGTTCATATTGTGATCATTTTGTGTTTTAAACCTTTTTAATCAAAATTAAAATGGTTCGTAAGACTCACAAATTTGAACAACCAAACTGCTTGTTCCCCGTTGAGGAAGGGATGCAGTGCGATGATTGTAAAAGGTTGTACCATAAGATGTGTACACGTCTAAGTCTTATCGCATACAAAAGATGCTCGAAGCCTAACTCACATTGGCTTTGTATGTTCTGCTGTACAAATAAAAAGTTACTAATTCAGGAGGCTATGAGCCTATTGGCTTTGGACTACAAGAAAAACGATGGCGGTAGCGCTGGTAACACGAGCACTGACGGCGAAGAATGTGTTAATCTAGTAAGTGCTGCTACCGGACCCGCTAAACACCCGACTGCAATTGACGGGAAAGTGAAATCTCCGTTAATATTAACGAGGAGTAAAGTGCCGCTAGATACTGACATCGGCAATCATACACCTCTAGTCGAAACTGATAAGACTGTCACCGTTCCAAATAGTCCCGGTGTGGCTGTCCTGAGTGGTGATAAATGGAATTTAGTACGGAAAAAAAAGAAACGAGAAGAAAAAAGCTGTAGGCAAAACACACACGAAGTTAAGCGACACATCCACCATTTTCTTTAGTTAGTTATTATCTCACAACAGACTCGATTGAACTCCACTAGTCACTGCTTCTCACTAGAACTCCGGTATATACCTGGTGAATCCAGTCACTAATAAGCATATGTATATTTACCTAGATGCTTATAAACTTAATTTACAAGTCAATGAAATAGGACATTTTCTTATTGACTATATTGTTGTTGATTTGTTCGATCATTTCTTTAACTTCTTATCTTCTTGTATTCAACTTATCTACCTTGTTATTGTTAATATAAGATTTTGTATTGAAAACTAAACTTCACTACAAATTTCAAAGTCACAGGTTACTTATACATGTGAATAAAAAAATTAACTTGATTATTAACATGATTTGCTTTAAAATTTACTCTGGTATCCCTCGAAAAAAGAAAAAAAAGAAAAAGAAAAATCTGTCAACGATTCTAAAAATAAATTTTTTTCTGATGTAATTGTCATGGCAACAATTGAACGTTAATTTTTTTGTTTTTCATAAATTAAAAAGAAATGACATTAAGTTTAATTTATATTTGATTTTTTTATTATGAAGATGAATTTATTGCTTTAATTGATTTACGAAGATTTCTAATTGCTACACCTATGAATACAGCATAGATAAATGATGTAGTAAAACAAATTGATGTTAATAATGTTATATAATATTGTACGTATTCACTTAATTCATCAAAACACCCCTGATAGAGAATTAGAAAAAAAGAAAAAAAGATATAATCAATCATATGGAATTGATCAAAAAGGTAAATGATTATTGTGAATCGATAATCAAAATCATTGAACAAGAAATTTTATATTGATCTTAATGAAATATCTGGAAGAAATTGAAACGTTTCATAATAGTACAATCGATAAAAACAATTTTCAACTAATATTAAAATTTCACAGGTTGAAATCATGAGTCGATTGAAGCTAGACCACCATGGAAAACCTGGAAGCACTGGACGGCCGTTTCGTCCTACTATGGGACTCTTCAGTAGTGCAACTTCGTGGATTGGTTGAAGTTAGACATTAACACCGTTGGATGACGGCTCAGTGGTCTAGTGGTTATGGTTCGAACCCCGCGTGGTGCGGGATCGTGGATGCGCACTGCTGAGGAGTCACATACTAGGACGAAACGGCCGTCTAGTGCTTCCAGGTTTTCCATGGTGATCTAGCTCCAATTGACTCATGATTTCAACCTGTGAAATTTCTGAAACTCTCCACAAAACCCATTTTGAAAATGATTTATTTCGGTATTTTTTCCACTGAAGATCTATTTTAACCTCATATTAGTTTAAGTAACATGCCAATGTTGACTCCAGAAGACGCTCATTTCTCTGCAGCAGATTTGTATTTATCGAATAAAAACAGCTGACAGTTATTTTGTATTATTTCTCGCATCGGCTTGCATCACTGGGTAAGTAATAGTGAGGTGTTAGGGAATAATGGTAAATCAGTTGATGGCGTTGTGAATCTTCTTCACCTGAGATGGTTGGGCCACGTGTTACCTATAGCTGAAAATTGATTACCACGATGCGCAATGCTGACTAGTGTTGGAGACGGTTGGAAGACAGTTAGGTGCGCGGCTAAACCGAAACGTGGCATCAGTGTTTGAACTCAACAAATTCTGATCTGAGCCATGTTGGTAGATACAAACTATTTGGTTGGGGTCCGCGTGATTATTGTAACCAACGGTTGGAGACTTTGGATGATATGGCTCAGAATCGATCACAATGATATAGGTGTATACACTCTCTGTTATCTCTTAAACTAAGAGATTAAAATTGCTTTATAACTTTATTTCTTCGTACTAAATCTTTCTTCCTGTACTATATCATTATACACAATCTTTCTTTAATGCATTACTACCATTGGAGTGCTAATGAATTGTGGCAACTTGGACTGATGTATATATGTGCCTGGTCTGACGTTGTGACTGACTGATTAACTATTTTTCATTATATTAGTAACTATATGCATATCAGATGGGAATACATATTCTTGTCGAGTATCAGAATAAAATATAATGAGTATCTATATCTCTGTTTATTTACATTCGTCTTGATTACTATGAATTGCATAAATAAGATACATCAGTGATATTGTTGTTCCTGAGTTTAGTCAACGTATCTTGTAGAACGTTATTAGCTAACACTGGATAGAATGAAGGACTTGTTAATAACAATAATAGCAATATATATAACACTTTCAACGAACTTGGTGGGAGTTAGTGTCGAAAGTATCCGTACGAAGTCAGTCAGTCAGCTACAACATAGGATCATGTACATATGTGCATCGGTCCAAGTTGCCATACCTCATTAACACAACAAGATGAACACCAGATTAATAAAAGTAGTTAATTCAGAGGTGGTAATATATAAAAGAAAGATTACAATAAGGATATAGTACAGGAAGAAAGAATTAGTTCGTAGAAAGAAAGATATGAAGCGATTTTAATCTCTTAGTTTAAGGGGAGACAGAGAGTGTATACACCGACGCCATTGTGATCGATTCTGAGCCATGTCACCAAGAGTCCCCAACCATTGGTTACGATAGTCACGCGGATCTCAACCAAGTAGTCTGCATCTGCCAACATGGCTCAGACTAGAAGTTAGTGACTGGGTGGACTGATGCCAGGTTTTGGTTTGACCGCCCCTTACTTTCTTCCAACCATCCTTATGAAGTAAAGTAAATAACTCGTAATGTAAGAAAGGAATTATGTATAAGCATGATTGTGAATATAACCAGTTACAATCGCTCCTAATTGCTACCAGTGTTTAACGATAACAAAAGTTCAGATATTGTATCTCAGTCTAGATTAAAAATCAATGTCTAAAAATCATATCTTTTCTTAGGTTTAGAATTTATTTAGATGTTTTCTTCACTTGGTGTTATTTACTTGTATCATACCATTGTTATTTAGGACTGCAATTGATCAATCTCTTGTTGGTATATGTGCATTCTGTGCGAATTGTCTCGATATAGCCTTAAGTCACAAGTTTTTTCAAGCAAAGATGGATAGTGACTGATCAATTGCAGTCCTAAATGACAAGTAAAAAAAACCAAGTGAATATAACTTCACCCCATTTCACATTCAGATAGCTATCAGGACTCAGTAGCTAAGTGGATAACGTGATGGCATTTAAAGTAAATGATATTGAGTTCGAGTCCCAGAATGAACATCAACATCTGAGATGCAGGTTCACCCAGCTGACGAGTCCTGCATTCCACTGCTAGCCACTATCCATCTTTGCTTAGATGTTTTCGTTTGTTACACACAACTCAACTTATCTTTCATATGAATTAATGCGTTATATTAGTATATCATCCGCCGGAACTGTGTAACATATTACATAATGAAAAATCATTCACAATAAGAAGTGAAGAAAACTAATTCTTCGATTGTTTTTTTTTCACTTAAAAACTGATATTTAGCCTTCTTGCTTATCGACTTAACTACTTTAGTGTGAGTTGTTGGGATTTATATTCAAAGCTGAAGTAGACAGTTTGCATAGTTAATTTGTAATATATTTCACTTAACCTAATGAACAGACTACAACGTTTAGCACCATCTTGATTTTCATTTAAAGTAATTACAATATTGATGTATTCAATTTATGATCCTAATGATTTTTTTCAGTTGAGTTCATGATGTGATTCAATTGATTTGCTACTTGATGAGGGAAGTGATCAAAAGTACTTTCCTTTAAGTATTACACAAAATGTTGGTGTTAATTAAATGGTCCGACTAATGTATTTGCATAGATAAAAAGTTATGGTTCAACTATCTCAGTAGTCATCAATGAAATATGGTAAGTGATCATAACTATGAAAACTTCATATGATTTCCGGAATACAAATTAGATTCTCATGGAATGATGACTTCCAAATTATATCCACTAGAGCTCAATAAATGCTAAGACATGAGTTTAAAAGTTCTAATATCATGATCTGTTAAATAATGATTCAATGTTTATGGCAATAAAAGTATTATGTGTCTAATTATCAGAATCCGAATGTATAGCGGCGTTCTACTGTTAAGTCAATTTTAGCAAAAGATTTTCGACAACTTGGAAGTCAGCTTCGCAAAGTGAATAGATTTATCCTAATTTAAATGTATTATTATACTACATTCTTAATCGGTGTCCAACAGGTGAAACATCCTGTAAATCTCACTAGTTTAGGTCATAAGTTAATTGAAGCTAGACAATCATGGAAAACATGGAGGCACTGGACGGCTGTTTCGTCCTATTATGGGACTCCTCAGCAGTGCGCATTCACGGCCCTGTTAATTCTTAAAGCATATAATGTCGATTTCAACACTTCTTAAGGTTGACGAGGAACCCAGAAAAAAACACTATCCATCATAAAACCTTGTATATATACAGAGAGAGAAAAAGAAATTGTAGTAATTTATTAGTTGAATTCATGATTCGATTAAAGTTAGGCCACTACTGAAAACCTGGAAGCAACGGACAACTGTTCCGTTTTAATATGAGACTCCACAGTAGTGCATATCCATGATACCACATACGAGATTCGAACCGAGGACCTTTAATCTCGCGATCGGACTCTTAGCCTCTAGACCACTGAGCCATTATCTAACAATGTTAATGTCTAATTTAAAATAAGCTTATTATACAAATGTAAAAAAAATTAAATAAATACTGACTTACACTTGCATAAACATACTGACCAACTCTACACGAGAATGGTATTAATACTTTAGCTTTTTTAAAATCAGCATACGAATTAACTCCACAGCAGAAAAACTATTTTTAAAAAAAAGAACAACAACAATGAAACATTATCTAACATTGAATTAACTCTTTGATGAAGTTTTTCTCTCTGAGCTGGATGGTTTATGTTGTGAAGCTTTCATCGTTCTTCTTCTGAACGACATCATCAGCACAAATTTCTATCTGAAGTAGAAGAACAACGAAAGCTCCACGACATAAACCATCCAGTTCAGAGAACAAAACTTTATCAAAATCATCCATCTGAGCTACAAACCTTTTCCACCATTGAATTAACTTACTTTTCTATGTAATTCATCAAATTCATCTGCATATTCATCATTCTTATAATAATATTTAATAGTAGTATTTAATGCTTGTTTAGCATTTATAAAAAACTATAATAAATATTTAATTATAATTCTATTACAACTAACTTGATGATCAGTTATCAGTGTTACAATAGCTATACATAGATTGATGATTGTTGCTAAGGACAAACAAATTACATGCTAAAATATAAAAATTTGATTGTATCCAAGTGAAAATTAAAAAAAAAACTTACTAAAAGATATAAAATATTCATTTGTTTCCATAATCCAAAAAATCCTAAACATGCTGTTATTAAACCAAGACTTCCTGTAAATATTCCTGTTGGATAAATAGCTGGTATTGTATATTGTAATATTAATTTATATTTAAGTAGATTATCCTCGGCTTTTATACTTAATACAAATAATATAAAACTTGTTACCTAGAAGAGAACAGAATAGAATACAAAAGAATAGAATAGAAGTTAGTATAAGATTTTAAAAAGAAAAAGGGAAACATCATGGATAACTAAGAAGTACTGAATGATTGTTTCATTGTGGATGTGTAGTACTAAAAAGTTCTATACTAAGATGTAATGGCTGTTCAGTACTTCTAGGTTTTCAATGGTGGTCTAACTTTAATTGAATTATGTGAATTCAACTATTAAAATGATTAAAATCTCCATAAAACTGCCCCCCCCCTCCTTTCTGATAATAATTAAAGATTTCAACGATTCAGATCATAAATCAACTGAAGCTAGACAACCATGGAAAATATGGAAGCATTGAACGGTCGTTTCATCCACAACAGTGTATATCCACGATACTGCCTCAAGAGATTCGAACCATTAGACCACAGCTGTTCAATATTTCTAGGTTTTTCATAATGATCTAGCTTTAATCGATTCATGATCTCAACTATTAAAATCATTATAATATTCATAAAAATTAAATATTTACTTACGGCAACAAAACAATTCAATATAATGAATACAAGGAACCAAAATCTTTGTGTCAACTGAAATTTCATCATGATTTATGATCGAATGATAATGAGATGAATGAATCTTGTTTTTGTTCTTCTTTTTTTCTTCTTTCTAAGCTGTTATAATTGTTATGTAACAATAGACATGTAACTCTATAATGATGAAATCATTATAAGGAGAATAGTACACTTAAATTATATGAACAAATCTATAAAGGACTATTTACAAATTACAAATGATGATTGATAATATTCAGACTACACATATACATAAATGTATGTTCTTGATTTTCTAATATATGTGTGAGTATGTGTGCGTGTGTTTGTGTGCATGTGTTTGTGTGTGTGTGTGAGAGAGAGAGATAGAGAGTAAATGTATCGTAATATGTCAATTAATTATAAATTTAGTAGTGAATTAAGGCAAAAATAAAAACGAAGAAGAAGAAGAAGAAGAAGAAACAGAAAAAACGTTTACCTCTTTTGTTGTTCACATGGTACTTTCAGTAGGTATGTTACAATAAACCACACACAAAAAAAAACAACAAACAATCAAATTGGTTTGCGTAGTTTTATGCATTCCGTTAAAGTGATTTTTATTATGAGTTAAAATCAATAATAATTAGCTTAGTAACAGAAGCATTTAAGAAGTATTATTGAATAGTTCAATTAAAAAAAAACACAACATGTTTACTTCATGTATATTTTCAGAGTATTCTATAATGTCATATATTTACTTTCATTTCACAATTACGTAATTACTATTAAAGAACTATTTGATAAAAGGGATTAGTAAACATTTTGTAGTGGTTTAGCTTCGTTAATCGATCACCTTAATAGCTGTTATAATATACATTTAAACGGTGATTAAAATCAAAAAGTGAAAAGAACCGGCAACTACAGTTTATTAAAGGATAGCACAGATCAATAAGCTATAAGCTCATAGGCAAATTTATAGCCAAATTGCATAAGGGTTCAGCAATGCAAAGCAAGGACTAATAATAGGATTTAAGTATATACATACATACATACATACATACATACATACATACATACATACATACATACATACATACATACATACATACATACGTACATACATACATACATACATACATACATACATACATACATACATACATACATACATACATACATACATACATGGGGAGGAGGATAAATCTTTGAGTGATAGTTATGCAACCAACATTTTACAAAGTTGAGAGGACGAAAAGCGAATATCCGGCGCTATAACCGGATTCTAAACCAATGGTGCATATGGGCTCCAGTATCCTGAAGGAACAAATGGCATATGAACCAATCGTTGGTCACTGGCTACCATGGGAATGCATCTCCTTACGTTGCTCCACTGCCTTGTGGATCAGAGCTTCAGGTCGAAGGCTTGGGGTGTGGCCCCCTAAGAAAACCACCTGCTTCGGTTTGGGCACCCGGGCAGTATCACAGCCTTCATACAAATCAAATGGGATGTGTGGCGCGTATGTATTTGGTGCCTCCTTGTACCAATATCTACGTGTTAAAATAAAATAAACATTTTAGCTAGAGTCTGTTATGTGATCTAGTAATCATCAGTGAAGATGATCTATATCGATAGATTGGAGGCCTACTCGAGTTCGACGAAAATGGTGTGACGAACCAGCTAACGTCGAAGTCACACCTCGTGGTCAGCACCTTAAGTAGATTACCCCATTGACGTATCAAGGTATTATAGATGTTTCGAAGACTGTACTACACAAAGGACGTTATTACAGAAATATATTAAAGTAGATACAAGCGAAAATAAGAACACCGTTACATGGGCCACCCCATGGCGTATGATTAGCTGATGCACGTTGGTTATCCTTGACCTTGACAGAGATTGATGATCTGTTCGATGTTCACTGACACAACATCCGGATGATTTGGCTAGGCCTCAGTGGCATTTCACTGGCCCTACAATAGCACAAAGAAATATGCGATTTTTTACTATTCAAATAACATTGTCTGTTAAGTAAGTGAATAAAAGGGTCTAACCAAAATTAACCGTAGTCGAAAGTGGTTGTAGGATAGGTGCCATAATCTAATTCATATTTATACTAGTTAACTTACAAATAATCTAATACTTTCTCATCTAATTTTAAATCGACTATCGTAAAATCACACAATGAACATGAAACATTTGATTTATTGATACGAAATTCAACAATAAATATATCTGAATTCACGAGTCGATATAAGTTAGACCACCACTGAAAACCTGTAAGGATTGCACGGTCGTTTCATTCTACTATGTGACTCATCAGCAATACGCATCCACAACCCCCCACGCAGCGCTCAAAGCCAGGGCCTTTATTCTCACTTTTGAACGCTGAACCTCTAGACCATTGAACCGGCATCCAAAGATGTTACTGTCTAACTTCAATCGATTCATGATCTTGCGCAAACATTCATCCATTGTCTGAGATGGATACCTTATTATTATTATTATTTTAACACGTAGATATTGGTACAAAGAGGCACCAAATACATACGCGCCACACATCCCATTTGATTTGTATGAAGGCTGTGATACTGCTCGGGTGCCCAAACCGAAGCAGGTGGTTTTCTTAGGGGGCCACACCCCAAGCCTTCGACCTGAAGCTCTGATCCACAAGGCAGTGGAGCAACGTAAGGAGATGCATTCCCATGGTAGCCAGTGACCAACGATTGGTTCATATGCCATTTGTTCCTTCAGGATACTGGAGCCCATATGCACCATTGGTTTAGAATCCGGTTATAGCGCCGGATATTCGCTTTTCGTCCTCTCATTTTCGTAAACAACACCCCCGCCACGAGGAGGCAGTGAGTAGGACTTCTCTGGCAGAGGCTATATACACGTGGCCATGTGAGAGCATTTCGAGAGGGAGAGCGGACTCTCCCCACTCTCAGCCGTACCAGGGCATTTGGGGGCAGATACCTGTTTCTACCTGGCACGGATTATACTACATTTGTTAGACGTTAGCACTGTTGGATGGAGAATCAACGTGGTCTACAGTTTAGGCGTTCGCGATCCTGGATTCGAGCTTCGAATACAAGATCGTACTTGCGCACTGTTAAGGAGTCTCATACTACGACGAAACTGCCGTCCAGTACTTCCAGGTTTTAGATAGTGGCCTAGCTTAAACCAACTCATGAATTCAACCAATAAAATCACTAAAATCTCCACAAAACCTCATTTTAATCATAAATATATTCACTATCATCCCATATATTACATTTAGATAATAGTACAAAGTCTATCACCACTGTGCCCAAATAACACCACCTCCAAATCTCTCCTTTTCGGCCATAAATATTATTATGACTTTTGCTCCTATGAGTTATCATGTGACATAACCTTGTCTTTGTGCTAAAGCAATGACATGTCAACCAGCAATAACAGCATTGCGTCAACTCTGATATAGTAACATACCTAACAGCCCTGCTCATTCAGTCCAGAACACAATCTCAGTCTTCACTTTATGAATCGTATATTTCAGACATAGATTGTTTATATACAAGCAGACTAGACCATATTAAACCATAAAATAAAAAGTAATAATCACACAAGATCAAGCCCGGAGTGGCTGTCAGTATGGGAGACTGTAACCAATAGATTAGGAAAAAATTAAGAATTAAAAGTCGGATAACAGTAGCTAATAGATCACAGGAAAGATTATGATAAAAAGAATATAGAAATAGATAATGTAGTTACTTTAAAATTTTCCGATGATGATGCATGTGACAACTTACTTACTCCTGTTAACCCTTTTCTGGAGGAGTATAAGCCGCTCACCAGCACTCTCCATCCAACCCTGTTCTGGGCAATCTTTTCCAGCTCCTTCCAGTTGTTATTCATCCTTTTCATATCTGATTCCATTTCCCGACGTAATGTGTTCTTCAGCCTTCCTCTTTTCCGTTTTCCTTCAGCATTACAAGTTAGGGCTTGCTCCGTGATGCACTTTTATGATTTCCACAATGTATGTCCTATCCATTTACATTGTCTTTTCCTAATTTCCTCTTCAGATGGAAGCTGGTTTGTTCTCTTCCACAGTAGGCTGTTACTGATGATATCCGGTCAATGGATGTTGAGTATGCTGTGTAGACAACTATTCATAAATACTTGTACCTTCTTGATGGTGGTTGTAGTAGTTCTGCATGTTTCAACTCCATACAGTAGAATTGACTGTCTTGACGTTCGTATTGAAGATTCTCACTTTGATATTGGTTGAAAAGTTGTTTTGAGTTGCATATGTTCTTCAATTTTAGGAATGCGACCCTTGCTTTGCCGATCCTTTCCTTTACGTCTACACCTGAACCTCCTTGTTCATCGATGATGCTTTGCAGGTATGTGAAGGATTCCACATCTTCCAGAGTTTCGCCATCAAGAGTGACTGGATTGCTGTTCACCGTGTTGTGTTAGAGGATATTGTTTTTCCATTTGGTCTTCGTTCGGATGTAACAAATACTCTACATCATCTGAAGGTCACGCTCAACTTCTAATTAATATTTGAACTTATTCAAATCTAGGATGCAAAGTACCATAAATGCCAATTGGTTGGGATTATATATTTAATGTTATTTAACACAGTTGTGAATAGTTTCAATCGGTCTAATGAAACCTGAATGATAATCATAAACAATAAAGTGTTTTATGGTTTTTGTCATGAATGACTCGAGTTTCTAACAGGCAGTTCCGGTACATATATATTTTACCAATGAAGTACAATTGAATGTTTTAAGTCAAATTAGTTCTGAGTCACTATGAGTACCTACTGACGAAATTACAATGTAGATTTCGATTTATTTAAATGCAAATTTTTAAATTTTGTCTTGTATAATACCTCAAACAAAATGAACTTCTCATGAGACATCAGTATCTTATAATTGGCTTCATAATCAAGATTTCTTGACATAGACGAAAGTTTATGCTTAACTTTTCACCATACGAACATTTACAATCAGATATCGGTAATAAAAACATTGGTTCAAATTCTTTACATTATTCTGATATACAGAATATGATTACTTTGAGT